TAATAATAATAATAATAATAATAATAATAATAATAATAATAATAATAATAATATTAATATTAATAATAATATAAAATAATAATATATAATAATATTGATAAATATGTATAATTACTTTAACTATGTATGCAAATGTATGACGGCTTAAACCAGGGGTAAAATATCAACAATATAATTAAGACTTGATTGAATAAGATTATGCAGTATTAGATAGTATATTACATATATGTATGTAATCCACATCATTATATTACTCTTCATACATTTATTACGTATAAAAATTGTTCACATTTAATGTTTTTCCTCATCTGACTTAAAGAGTTTATATATCTATATACTAAATAAAATAAAACACATAAAATAAAATTCTATATCTATATATGTACATACTACTACACATGTATATATATTTTCATATATTTTATTCACATGCCAATTTATATTATCCGCCCTGTCCAAAGATTTTGACTTTCATGCAATGAGCATTAGAGAAGATTAATAAAAAGTTCTCGCCCCACTTTAAACTTTTTTATAGCTTTATGTATACATATACACTTTTATTAAAATGAATATAGAGATATTTGAACATAAATATCGATAATAAATTTTCAATATTAATTTTAGTAATCAGAGCCATTGTAAGAGTATTCAGTAGCTGTGTGTTGGAACTGCTTGGAAATGCCTGTCGGCACTCGGCCACATAATGCCGCAAGTGAAAGAAGGTCGGTTCGATCGCTATAATTGATCGCAAGATGGAGTGGTAATGAAAGCCTCTCGCAAGGGCCGAGCTCCAGACAAATGAATTTGTCAAAATGCGACAATTAGACGCTTGAGTGCAAGTATTGGCTCGACTGGGACTGGGACTGGGAGTACGATTTGGAACGCTTGGGGCATCTGGCTGACTGGCTGACTGACGCAACTTCAAGGTTGACAACGTAATGACTGCTGACACACGTGTGTTTATATGTGTGTGTGTATACAAGAGCATGTTAACAATTCGACTGTTCCGGGCGGGCGTGAAATTTGTTGTTTTACTTTCACTGACCAAAAAAAAAACAGCCCAGAGACAATGGAAATTCATTCTGTCTGGCTATTGGGCCGTTAGCTATTACCTGTTAGCTGTTAGCTGTTAACTGTTGCCTGTTGACGACCTTGCTCCGAGTCATCTCAGTTTGTTTGTTTACTCTGTTGGGCCTATAAGCAAGTCGGGCATGTTGTAATAGACTCTGTAATATTTATAATGTTGCATTAATGCCTGGATGAGTCGGACTATGTAAATGTAACAATGTGAGCTTTGAAATAGTCGAGTCTCTGTTATGGTATTCGCTAGGAGTGAATGGAATTCTGAAATCAACAAAAGGAGCACTTGAACTAAGCTATTTATATTCCAAACGAATCAATTAGTGATTACTTGAATCTTAAATTTGTAGTGAATACTATTAATTTATATAAAATGTTGCCTGGTTAAAGAAAGCTTATATCTATATAATATGTATTCATAGCTCAGCAATGACAACACAAATTCACTCCGCATTTTATTTATTTGAATTTTTATAATAACAAATAACAAGTCAAAGTCAAGTATAACAATATTGATAAAAAAAAAAAACAAAAAAACAAATGACTTAAGCAACAAACTCGAATCAGCCAACTATGTCCTAGTTCTCATGTACAGCTGTGGATGGGATGTTGCGCCCGTGGGCGTGCCACTGTGAGCAGCTCCTGCCGCTGGCAGATACTCATTCATATTCAGGCTAAATGCGGGCGGAAAGTTCTTCTCCTTTGCCTCGCGATTGATGCGATAGCTGCTGCGATAGGCGGCCACCGGGGAGATGGCGCTGGCGTAGCCCTGCAGGCCGGCGGCTGAGTAGTGCAGGCCCGTGACGCCAGTGTTGCCAGGCAGCGGACTGAGCTGCACGCTGCGCGCACCATAATCGGGCGTGGCGGCCACGTTGGGCGTCAGCGCGGGCACCGGCGGCTGCACGCCGGCCGAGGCCGCCGACGTCAGGTACGGACTGATGGGCACGATGATGGGGCGCGTCGGTATCAGCTGCAGATACTGCACGGTGCCGCTGCCATCCTGCAGCGACTGCGCCGGCAGATACTGCATCAGCATGGGCGTGCTGGGCAGATTGGCAATGGTGGGGCTGTCGCCCAGGCTGACGCTCTGCATGGGCGAGAAGTTCGTCTCCATTTCGGGCAGCTTGTAGGAGGGCTTAAAGCCGGCCTCTGTCTGCGGTTGCGGCTGTGCCTGGGCGGTGTTTATGCTGTCGTAGTTGGTGGCAAAAGCAGTCAGAGAGTTCAAATGCGCATCCTGGCCATTTGAGCTGAGTTGTTGTTGCTGTTGCTGCTGCTGTTGCTGTTGTTGTTGTTGCTGCTGCTGCACTTGAACACTATTGGCGGACTTGCCCGATTTGTTGGCTATCTCAGGGCTCGACACGGGCAGAGCGTGCAGCAAAGGCAGCACGAGCAGCTGCACTAGCAGCAACACGCAATGGAATCTTCCTAGGCACAGCATCTGAAATGTGAAAGAGTTTAGCGAGTGTAACGGCAAATACGGATTAATGAGCTGGTTAACAAGAGGTGACAGATATTGGGACTGCGTAGGAGGCAACCGCTGTGATATTATATAATACATTTTGTGTATAACAAATGTGTATACAAGTTTTATATATGTATGTGTATGTAATGCTGTGTTAATTAACCAGATTCAAGTTCCACTAAAATTAGCTTAGATAGAAAGCGGATCTACAACATTCTAAAAGAATTCTGAGCCATTTGTGATTCGGCTTTGCCAACTGAAACTGAGGAAACTTTTAATTTGGCATTACTGGAGGAAGCCAAAACGAATCTATTGATAATAAATATATGACTGATTTCAGATAAATTTTTCAATCCCCCTTAAAATGTATACGCCCCATAAAATCAATTAATATTATTACGATAATTTCTGCCAACAAAACTGCTTCATTGTGAGCAAAACGCTTGGCCAAATATGGTTAATTCATTAATTTGGTAATAGTTCACAAAGAGAAAGGGAGAGTGAGATAGAGAGATAGAGATGTGAACTGGGAGAGAGATAGATAGAGAGAGGGAGAGAGAGAGAGGGCATCGTTTGTTTTGTTGATTAATAATTTTTGTTTCATGTCCAAGCTGGCAGACTGCAACGCCCAATGGTAATTAGGTAGCCTGTTCTGTTTAAGCATTTTGGCCAGGTTAATTGCCACACAAATGGCATAAACACAAGCCACCGAAAATTACTTAACCGAATTCCATGAATGGATGGGCGTAACAATCTTATTTAAAGTTCACTTTCACTGCGCGCTACCTTGTTGCTGTTTGCTTTTCTATTTCATTTAATTTGTGGCCTCACAGCGATTATGCTCATTCATAAACGAGCAAAGATTTGTTTGAAAACACTGGTAAAACAAAAATGAGCAACAAAAATAAATAAAATATAGCAGTAAATGCTTCACCTCTGCTATGATTTAAGATTTGCTGTGACACTCGCTGGCGCGCGTTTTTCGATGGGAGACACAATGAAATTGTATTGGATGTTGGCCAAACACTTGCACTTCTGCTGGCTGCAGCCCACGACTGTCAGGCGACGCGGTTTGATTAACGTCACGGACGGCGACGAGGCTGCTTATATAGCCCGAGCCAGGCGTCAGCTGGGGACAGGCGAGCCACCGGGCGCGCGGTGGGAGGAAGCTGCCAATTTTCCTCAATCGCCATTAAAAGCCGTTTAACTGTAGCATGCCACATGCTGCAGCCAAAAGCCGTTTGCTACTCGCTCACGAGCCGTTGCATGCGTGCAAATCAAAACATTATCACAGCAGCCCATTCTGTGCGCATTGTTGCATGTGCAGCCTAGCTCAGTTTAAGTCGTGCTCAAGTCAAGTTCAAGTTTAGCGCGCCAACTGGGCATGCTCTCTGCAGACATTCCACAGCGTTCAAAATGTGTTGGAGTTAATTTATGAGAAAATAATGGACATAATAAATAATAAAATAATATATAAATAAATAAAATAATATATAAATAAAATATATAAAATGAAAATAATGTTTATACATATACAGATATACACATAAATATATATTCATATAATATAAAATATTATTTATACAGATATACATATAAGAATATTCATCTCACAATCTCATCGCAGCAAAACACTTGCCATAAATCCTTATTTATCCCCACACCTCACCAACACATTTGCAGGGTATCTGGCCGTTTGGCATGCTCGTCTGCTACATTCTGACTGCTTTTGAGTTTTGGTTCCGTCTTCCGAAACACGACGAGCAGAGAAGTGCAGCAGCCCACAATTAGGCGCTGGCTGCGGATGTTTTCCGCATTGCCTCCTGGCCATGATACGCTCAAACGGGTTTCTTTGTGGCAGCAGCCGAACACCGGTTGGCTCAAAGCTAAAGCCAGCAAAAGCAACCGAAATAGCTTTTCCCCACTTGGCTCACTTGCTGCTCAGCTATAGCAACAGCTATGCAGCCACGCAACAACAACAACAAAGCATGGCAAGGTCATATGAAAATTACATTAGCTTTTCAAGCTGCAGAAATTCTGAACTTGAATTTCGTCACTACATATAATCATTGAGTGTGGCTCAAAGCTAATGAATTGCGGCTAGCTAATTGTTATAATTCTCAATCGGACATCAGATGGTCGGCAAGTGTGTTAGTGAATCAGGTCTATCGACGTAAGGCTAAAATTTACTTCAGTTTGGAATAGATTACCGAATAACTATAATATATAGTTATTTAATATTTAATTGTAGTTTATTAATTTCACAATATACTAAGTATATATAAGTGACCTATACTAGTGACCTGGTGGGTGTAGAAACCTTCTTAAAATACACTTTAACACTATAAATACGCTCGCACCTTTGCACTTGGCTTAAATAGGGTTGTACCTATGAATGTTATCCAGTTAGTGAACTATTATTGGCCAATAGTCTTTTTATTGGCTGTGCCCTGAATTTGTCTTGAATGGCAAATCGTATAATCAATGTGCAGATCGTGAAAGAGAACCTAAACGCGACTGTGAGCTAAGACTCGATTAATCGGACTGCAATCGCTGATAATCTGTCTATCTCTCTGTCTATCTCTCTCTCTATATCTCTATCTTTCTATCTCTCTCTCTATCTCCCTCTCTATCTCCCTTTCACTGTTTCTCTTTCTTAGTCTCCTTCTCTTTCTTCTTCCTCTCTCTCTCTTTCTGTCTCTCTCTCTATCTCCCTCTCCCTCTCAATCTCCCTCTCACTGTTTCTCTTTCTAAGTCTCCCTCTCTTTCTTCTGCCTCTCTCTCTCTCTCTCTCTCTCTCTCTCACTCTCATCTCAAAGGCCCACAACTTGATTTCGTAGCGTGATTTTATATGTTTGAGAGGTTCTTATATTTTGTTTATCAAGCCGCTTCGATTGCTTCCTACTCTACTCCAGGATTGAAAGCCATTTACTCTCTGACTCACAAGCCGATTTTTATATACTTTCCTTACAAAAACTTTATAGCTAAAGTCCATTACTGGCAATAAGGTATATTAATGGAGTCCATTCAATACACATCTTAGCTCTTCAAAGAATATTATAGATAGCCACTCTCAGCTCTATAAGGAATAAATAGTATAGATAGTGAATCTCTGCTTTTTATAGAAGAGTATAAATGGAAACTTTGTTCGCACGCTTTATTAAATTTCTTGTACAGTTTCGGTTTCACAATCCGGGAGTGCGGTTAGCCAAGTAGCTGGATCCAACTCTGGGCACACTTATTTGCATGTCTATTGCCAGAACAGAAGTGATACGCCTAGATCAGCTGGCAAAGCTCTGCACGCTGTCATGGCATTGAATCGCAGTGCTGCGCCGTAGGCTCGACGGGCCGAAGGCCAAGTGACAAATATTGCTTTTGACGGAACGTGAGACGTTCGCCTGCCAGTTGTTGTAGTCGAGGCGCAGTCGGGCAGGCAGCGCGGTGGCCCACACCGTCAACCAGAGCAGACAGGCACCGATGATGCTGGTGGTGATGCCCAGCAGCCAGTACTCGCAGTTCTCGAAGGTGCACTCCTCGGTGACTAGCTGCTGCAGTATGCCGATGATTGCACAGTGGCAGAGCGCTTCGATGCGACACCACAGCTTGATCAGCATCAGGTCCAGCGTCAGCAGGCAGATGCCCATCTCGAGGGTGAGGCGGCACAGAGACGAACAGTTGCGGCACCAGTGCGGAAATATGCGCACCACCTGCAGTACGGCCCCAATGCTCGCCACGAACAGCCAGCTGCCGAGTAGGGGCGCCGGGGAGCAGCGGGCCAGCAGAAAGTAATACGAGATGCCCATGACCGAGTGCAGCAGTATGGCCATGGCTAGTGCTGAGAACGAGAGTCGTTCCATAACTGAACGGATTTCTGAATGGATCTTGATACGACGTCGACACCACTCTCTCTTTCTCTCTCTCTCTCTCACTCTATCGATCTATCTCCTCCTCTGTCACTCTCTATGCGTCTGTCTGCGTCTGCGTCTGTGTGAGTTGGGGGCTAACTCCTTGAATTTGTTTTGAATTTTGTTTGAGCTTGCCACATGTTAAACTATTTACACATCAAAAAACATTTTCCCATCAAACACGTCCAACTGGCTTCAAAATCAAGGCATTGTTTTTCCTCATTTCGTTCGCTGTGATTAGTCGACTGTTTACTTTCATTTTTATGCCGTGGCTGCCCCACGTTGCATACTTTGCACTATATCCGCAAATATTTTACTGTGCCTGCAAAAACATGTTTACATTAAAGTTGACAATCTCCAAGACGATTGATTGATTTGCCTATGGAGGCGAAGGAGAGCGAGGCCAGAGAGCGAAAGCTGCCAAATATGAGAGACAGAATTGGCAAAGGTGACCATAGCTGACAAAAATTGCAGACTGAATTCAAGGGATGACCAAACCAGAATGGATTCGCTCCCTAAAGCGGAACCATATGAAGGTAGAGTAAACCTCTTTTTTCGCTTCGCACTTTCTTCTTTAAGCTGCTTATTGCCTGAAGAATATATTAAATAAATTTTATAATACATACAGCATAGAACCAATATTAAAAGGGTATATAATGTAGGGAAAATATTTCAATATACTCTATAATACAATATTTGCATATTGCTAATTGCATACTTTGCGGCATTTGCGTTAATGGCCAAAACTGTCCAAGCCCAAAGCAGATAATTACCTGAACATGAATTCTTATCTGGAAGTCTATCAGCTGGACAGACATAGACACTGCACGACAAATGAGCAGCACACGATATGCCGGGCACTTGCAATGTCTAGAGATAGGCTAGATAGATAACAAAGATATCAGAAGCTGGAGGCATGGCTAATAATAGCAATAACTGGAAGGAAATGGCGGCTGCATTGTGTTCGTTTAATTGCGAGCCATAAATATTATATTGCCCCCAATTACAGCTGACTGCAAATCGCATTTTAATTGTTGCAACCAGCAGCGGCTGCAACAGCCACGTAATAAATGGCAACCTGATACGTTAAGGCTTTTGGTCAAATGAAATTTTCAGTGGCTCAGTTGCTGTCAAGTAATTCGTCAAGATGCTTTGTGCTGCCCTCCCATCCGACTGCAGCGCCATCTAGTTAACTGTTTGTCTGTCTATCTGACGGTCTGTCTGTCTGTCGGTTTGATTGTCTGACTGACTGTCTGTCTGTCTGTCTGTCTGTCCTCCTTGGGTGCCTTTTATGTCAACTGCATTTTTCACTGCTGTTGCCGTATTTCTTGTTGTGCATCTTCTTCTTTTTTTGTACTGGTTTAAGCCACTTAATGGATTTATTTCCTTCTTCTTTTTTTTTTGGCTAAGATGCGGGCGCTGAAGTTGAAAGCGCTATTCACGCACAGTTTTCTTGCAGCTTCCATTCACAAAGACTTGCAATTCATCAAATCTCGTTAGCCTCGGCTTTTATAGAATATCTTCAGATGCTGCTTTTGCTATTATTTTCGGGTTTTTACTTCTTGGGCGAGCACTTTATTCAAGTGAAAAGACGCCACGCCCAGTAGCAACAGCAGCAGCACTAGCAGCTGTGGGGCGTGGCACTAAATACATGTGTCTCCCCCCCACTGAGTGTGTGTGTGTGTGTGTTTCTAAGGCGAGTGCAGCTGCACTGCATGCTTCGACTTCCTTGTTAAAGCTAAGGGGCGTGGCTTAAGGTATTCATCTTTCGCGCAGCCATCTAACCGACAGCTGAAATGCACTCTAACAAATGTGCTTCGAATAGCTCCGATATCAATTTGTGGCCATAAACGAGCTATATACGAAAAGCGAAGGCAGTTCCGTGTGGGATTGATGAATCTGGGCAGGCAGGATAATGCGATGGGTCGCAATTATTAGATTTGAGCTGGCTTATTATTTATATTATATAATCATGGTCATCACAATATCGTAAAGCTGTTCCCATAGCCAAATTATTTATGTAAATATTACCAAACTTGGTAATTGTAAACGGAAAGCGGCAAAGCCGACGCTTCTCCCCATCGATCGGCATCGATCGAAATGAAATCACAATCAGCATAAATTCGTTCCCAGCAACATGCAGCGCCCACATATAAACATTTGCTCCCAGCAACATGCATCACCCGAACAGTTGCAAACATTCTGTTAGAGCTCACTGTATTATTCAATAGACACACAATTGTTAGTCTTAAGCTACGGTTCGTTGCTGTTGGCATATGTCGCGGCATTTATTCGACTCATAACATTTTAGGTGGTATTTACTTATAAGATTTGATTTGGCATAAAGGAATTCTTTCGTAATTTTGTTCTATTTTATTTTATTTGTATAAGACTTTTATTATTATACATATTTATATGATTTGAGGTGGTATATATAAGACCTGATTTGGTATAAGGAATGTTTGTTTAGTTTATTTTATTCCATTACATTTTTATTAATATTTATTTTTTTTTTTAATTTATTCTATTTTATTTTTATTTTATTTTTTTTTTCGTTAAATATTTTATTGTAGCCCCAGGCATATTATTTTGGTATTTTATATTATGTTTTTTATTTTTATTTTATTTTTTTGTTGTTATTATTTTAAATTTAAAAAAAAAAAATGGGCTGCGAGTTCTTTTATTGTGGCCCCAAGCCTATTATTTATAGGACCTGATTTGGTATTTTAGTTTCCTTTATTAAATTTTTCATGTTATTATTTTTTATATTTAAAAACATTCTTTTTTATGAGTTCCTTTATTGTATCTCGAAGCTTATTATTTATAAGACCTGATTTGGTATTTTATTTCATTTTTCGTTGTTCTTTTTTAAACATTTTTAAATTTAATTTTTATTGTTTTTTTTTTTTTTTTTTTTTTTTTTTTTTTTTTTTTTTTTTTTTT